CCCTATCTAAAATGTTCAATCCCCATCCTGAAAGGCAAAGAGGATGGACATCAGAAGAAAAAGAAAATAGGAAACAACCTCGGAACCTGCTACAGAGGGCCTCTGAAAGCCAGAAGAAAACAGGAAACAACCTTGAAACCTGCCACAGAGGGCCTCTGAAAGCTTCTGCAGTATAGACTGTCAAAGCAGATGCTGAGCCTGATGGCCAACTGATGGGCAGAGTGAATGGAATTCTATGTAAGAAGTGGGAAATGGTAAGAGCTGGAGGGGATGGGAACTCCACAAGGAGAGCAACACAACAAGATAATTTGAACACAGGGAACTTCCCAGAGACTCATACTCCAACCAAGGACTATTCGTGGAGATGACCTGGAACCCCTGCACAGGTGTAGCCCATGGCAGTTCAGTGTCCAAGTGGGTTACATAGTAATGGGAAGAGGGACTGCCTCTGACATAATCTGATTGGCCTGCTCGTTGATCACTTCCCCCTGAGGGGGGAGCAGCCTTATCAGGCCACAGTAGAGGACAATGCAGCCACTTTTGATGAGAACTGATAGACTAAGATCAGAAAGAAGGAGAGGAGGACCTCCCCTATCAGTGGACTTGGGGAGTGGCATGCATGCAGAAAGGGGAGGGAGGGTGGGATCGGGAGGGGAGGAGGGAGGGGCTTATGGGGGGATACAAAATGAATAAAGTGTAATTAATAAAAAATTTAAAAAAAAAAAAGCAAATGTGTTTGTGCTAAACTCAAAGTTGAAGAGCAAGGTGGACACAGAAGAAAAAAGCATCCTGCAAAACGGAAAAACAGCCACACATATTACCTGATAAGGGTCTAGTATTCAAAAAATATAAAAGAATCCAAACAAGGATCAGCAAAAAAGCAATCCAGTTCTTAAAATGTGGCAGTTGAATGTACTTGCTGCTTTTCCAGAACACCTAAGTTGGGTTTTCAAAACCCATACCAGGCTGCGCATACCCACCTATCACTCCAGCTCCAGGGGAATGACACCCTCTTCTGGCCCCTCCAGGCTTCAGAATGCGCACACACACACACACACACACACACACACACACACACACACACACAC